TGTGTGTGTGTGTGTGCATGCGTGTGTGTTTGCACTTTTGCTGAGCCACAGGTTTGATCCCAGGGCTTTCCGCTGGGTTCAGACCATGAGGCTGGCAGTGGAGGAGATAAACGAGAACACACAGCTACTGCCAAATCACACCCTGGGCTACAAAATCTTTGACTCTTGTGCGTACCCGCTGACTGGTCAGAGGGCCGCTCTGGCTGTGCTGAACGGGCTGAGTGAGGCCGACTCTCCCATGTGCTCTGGAGCCTCTCCGATGCTGGCTGTGATCGGGGAGTCAGGATCCGCTCAGTCCATCGTTGTTTCCAGACTCCTGCAACCATTCAGGATCCCCATGGTAATGGTATCTCCTTTTCTTTGCAGTCACTTCAGCATCTTAAGCTAACCCCGACCTTTACCCTCAGATCAGCTACTTCTCATCGTGCGCTTGCTTCACCGACAGAAGAAAGTATCCCACATTTTTCAGAGTGATTCCTAATGATGACTACCAGGTATGACTGCATGTTGCCGCTTGTGTAATAGAAAAGAGGAAGTCATAAATTTTACATCTTAAAAATTTACAAATGTAACCACTTGCCGTAGTCATACGTAGTCATATGACATGAATTTTGACATCTTTAAAATGTAATTTTCAAAAGTCGTTTGAAAATTTCCTTTCCTTTCTTTTGTTTCTTGCTGAAAAAGGTGAAGGCCATTGCTCAACTTCTGCTGCACTTCAACTGGACTTGGGTCGGGCTTCTTCGAGGAGACCATGAATACGGGCGTTTTGCGGTGCAGGGTTTACTGAGGGAGTTGCAGGGCAGCAGTGTGTGTGTGGCTTACCAAGAAATGATCCCCCTACTCTACAACACACAGCGGGCACTGGAGATTATGCAGGCACGTTTTTAAAGAAGCACCTATTCAGCCATGTTGGAAAACAACTCCAAAGTCATTTAAAACTGTTTATTCTTAAATATGGGCCAGCCGTATTTAATAGTTAGTCATGGCAAAATGAAAATCCAACTAAATCTCGCTTTAGTCGGTTTTTAGTTCCTTTAAGTTTTTGAACAAAAATAAAAGTGAATTAATTTTAGAAACGAATTAGTTTTTCTGCTGACTCAAGTAAACATAATTTATAATTTTCTTGATTTTTCTTTAATGAATGATAATGAAAATGTACTTAACTATGACTTTTAAAGCCAAATATTTACGCAGCTATTATCTGTGTGTACCATTGCACTCTTACAGCACAAGTGGCAAATTTGACACCATATATCTGCAGTTATGATAGCAAACCTATCTAAAGGGTTTCTTTTCAGAACATCTCAAACTTTAAGGTATTTTTTTTTCCATTACATTTGCAATTGAATTTTGAAGACATGTGGATTTACTACGTGACTACATGCAACCAATTAAAAGTCATAATTAATGTACTCAAAATATTCTACGATAGTTTGGCTTCGGTGAAGAATGATTGTGATACATTTTCACAGATTTTAATATAGTCCAAATATTTAAGGTAAAATTAATTGCAGTGATCTAAACATGCAAAGAGTAACAAGTTGAAAAGTTAACAGATTGTATTGTGTTTTTTTGTTTTGACTTCTTGACCTTCCATTTTGGAAACAAAAAAAGGTCATGCGGCGCTCTTTGGCAAAAGTAGTGGTGGTATTCTCAGCCGAAGGGGAAATGACGCCGTTCCTCAGGGACTACATGAAGCAGAACATCACCGGGATCCAGTGGGTGGCGAGTGAAGCCTGGGTCACGGCGTCTGTCTTTACAGGAAGGGAGTTTTACCCCTACCTGGGGGGCACCATTGGCTTTGGCATCAGAAAAGGTTCCATTGCTCAACTCAGTGACTACCTACAGAGAGTCAACCCTCAGCGATATCCCAACAATGTTCTGGTGGGCGAGCTGTGGGAGGCTCTGTACGGCTGCAGTCCTTTTCCGTCCTCTGCCAACCATTTCCCGGTTTGTTCGGGGCAGGAGGCGCTGCTGGAGCAGCACTCAGCCTACATGAACACATCCAGCCCCAGGGTGGCCTACAATGTCTACAAGGCTGTGTACGCAGTCGCCCATTCACTGCACAACCTCCTTCTTTGTCAACCCGGCAACGGGCCTTTTGAAAACGATTCATGTGCTCAAAGCAACCAGATACTCCCCTGGCAGGTATGACGATGAAGCATTTGCTGTTTGAGGAGTAAATAATTGCTTTTGTTTGTTCTGTTGTAAATCTTTCCTCCCCATCCCCATTAGCTTCAGTATTACCTGCAAGAAGTGAAGTTCAACATGACTGGGGAGGAGGTCAATTTCGACCTGAAGGGCGACTCGGTGCCGTACTATGACATTATCAACTGGCAGAGAGGCTCGACTGGAAATATTGAGTTTGTCAACGTGGGGTTGTTCGACGGGACTAAGCCTGGTGGAGAGGAGCTGGTGATCCAGGAGGAGAGAATAATGTGGGCAGGTCATCAGAGTGAGGCAAGCTGCTCACACTGTGTTTTTACCTTCATCAGATGCCAACTGTTGAAGTTCTGTAGGTTAAGATGGAGGTAAGTAGGGCGAGTAGGACAGAGTGGATCTGATTTGACCCCATTATTGTCCATCCAGTAGTCCGTTAGAGAGTAAAGATGGTATTGATATTCCTCAGTTTCAACTGAAAGATACCATCATGGAATAGGGGATTGAAGTCTTGTTTTATTTCTAACATGACTGCAGTTTAAAAAAGCAGATTTGCTAATAGAATCCATATTGTCCCTGTAAAGGTGCCAGGGTCTGTGTGCAGTCCCAGCTGCCCTCCAGGCTCCAGGAAAGCTGTCCGTCGTGGGGAGCCTGTATGCTGCTTTGACTGTGTACCATGTGACAGCGGCAAAATTAGCAATCAGACAAGTGAGACTGAAAATCAATGCAACTTAAGTATTGATCATAGTGCGGTCACGTTTATCATTCTTTTTCTTTGCCATTCTCTTTTCACTAGACTCACTAGAATGCATATTTTGTCCTGAGGACTTCTGGTCAAACCAAGACAGAACAAGCTGCATCCCCAAGAAGGTGGAGTTTTTGGCCTATGATGCCTTGGGCATACCACTGACAGTCATTTCAGTAGTGGGCGCCTCTCTCACTATCGGTGTTTTGGTTGTGTTTTTCTATCACAGAAGCACGGCAGTCGTGCGAGTGAACAACTCAGAACTCAGCTTTTTCATCCTGTTTGCTCTAACGCTTTGCTTCCTGTGTTCTGTTGTTTTTATCGGGGAGCCCACCGTTTGGTCCTGCATGCTCCGTCACACTGCCTTCAGCATCACGTTTTCACTCTGCATCTCCTGCATCCTGGGAAAGACTCTGGTTGTTTTGGCTGCGTTCACAGCCACCAGGCCGGGGGACAACATCATGAAGTGGTTCGGGCCCAAGCAGCAGCGAGCCATTATTTTCAGCTGCACTCTCGTCCAGGTGGTGATCTGTGCCGCCTGGCTAATTGACGCCCCACCTTATCCAATTCGAAACACCAAATACGAACGCTCCAAGATCATACTGGAGTGCAGCGTTGGGTCGAGTCTTGCATTCTGGTGTGTTTTAGGGTACATTGGCCTCCAGGCGTGTCTCTGCTTTGTGCTGGCATTCCTGGCTCGAAAGTTGCCCGGAAACTTCAACGAGGCCAAGTACATCACCTTCAGTATGCTGATCTTCTCCGCTGTGTGGCTTGCATTCGTCCCGGCTTACGTAAGCGCCCCCGGAAACTATGCAGGTGCAGTCGAGTCCTTCGCCATTTTGGCCTCCAGCTTTGGGCTGTTGTTTTGTCTGTTTGCCCCAAAATGTTACATTATTTTGCTAAAGCCAGAGAAAAATACAAAGCAGCACCTCATGGGTAAAGAAAAACGGTAACTTTTTTTTTTCCTCTTTTTAATAAAATGCTCATATTTCTATTATCTTAATATGAGTGAGGAACCATTCCTTTGAATGAATTTATTTCATTCTGGTGTTTTGGGTTTTTATTTTTTTACTGGTTTTTATTGAACTTTGAAATGCATGTTTCTGCTTTTGTAAGGTAGTGCAAATTCCTTCAAGCGAGAGAGTAAATAACAAAGTCACGTCAATTTTGTGTCTCTTATAACATCCCAAAATAAAAAAGAGTCTCCTCCATTGCTTTGAGAAATGTTTTTTTTTTTTTTTGCTGTTGTTCTTCTTACATTATTTAAGATAAGTTGAAGTATTTTATTGATGTAGTATATTTTCAGCAGCAAGGCAAATCAAAGAGCTTTACATGAATTAGAAGGAAATGCAACAAAACACCAAACCAAAAGAAACAGTTAAAGAAAGAAACAAACTTTAAGACAACACATTAGTTCCCATGTTTAATAAGAATAAGAAGTCCATAAACTATAAACTAGAAGGTGTTTATCTGTATTCTTGTTCTGATGAAAATAAGTGGCACTTTCTAAGTTTGTTCTAGATATGTAAACTAATAAGAGTTTCTCTAGATCTTACTCCAGTATTAATGGTTTAATGTTGATAAATGTTGATCTGACTAATGAGTAGCTTCTCTAGACAAATAAATAGGAGTTTCTCGCAATTTTGAGTTTGTTCTAATTCATGTTACAATTCAGCTTAGAAATGTGCAAGGATAGGTTTTTATATTTTTTTAATCACAACTAATCACAATATAATCAAAAACTAAAAACAAGCATCATTTTGACTTGCTAAAGTCAGCAAATAAACAGATTATGAGCTCAGCAGCAAATATATTTACTGTTTTTAATCTGTTGTTTTGGTTGTTCAACCCGCAGATTGATGCTCAGTGGTACTAAACCCATTCAGACCTCGAGGGCCGACAGCCCGCGACTTTCAGCCGCGTCTCTGATCACACCTGACAACATGCATTATCACAATGAGTGAGGAACCATTCCTCTGAAAAAAAGAAATGCAAACAAATTGTTGAAACAGATGTCTTATTTTTATTATGATCCAAGAACAATTTGCATACAGTTCCTTACTTTTAAAAGGCATTTTACTAGGGACAGCAACAAAGAAAAAAAAATTGTGTTTACTTCATTTAAAAAAGAAAGACTTTTATCTATACTTCCCAGTCATACCTTTTCTAATGTTCCTTTCAGGGTGAAGAAGGATTATGTAACATTTGGGTACAAATATGCACAACAAAAGACCAAAACTGGAAGCCAATATTGCAAATATCTCCACGGCTACCGAGAACTTTCCCGGTGAACTGACGTAAGCGGGGATGAAACAGATCCACACCGCCCAGAAAATCAGCATGCTGAAGGTGATGAGCTTGGCCTCATTGAAGGTGTCTGGCAGCTTCCGTCCCAGGAACGCCAGCAGGAGGCACACAAACGCGAGCAGGCCGATGTAGCTTAGCAGCAGGTAAAACCCGAGTGGCCATGGCTCCTTACACTCCAAAACAATCTGATTGGGGCGAGGAACACAATGTTGTAACCTTGTTCTTTTTTTTGTGCGTGGAACAATGTGGTGATTGAATTCGACAGGACGAGCTTCGAGACTCGCTTTTCTTACTTTTCCATATGAAGCTTGATACGCGGGGCTCCTGACAGGGAATGGAGGTGCACCCAAGAGCCAGCCAACACACAGACAAATCTTAGAGAACAAAGAACAATGAAATGACACTTGCAATATTGTAATAGTAAATGGCAATAATAATAATAATTGAAAACTGTGTAGGGTTGGCACCGCAGCAAGTTTTTTTTCCACCTGAGGAGTCGTCGTGCAGAAGATCATAGTCCTCTGTTGGGTTGGACCAAACAGTTTCAGGCCCCCGGAGCTCGGTATATTGGCCCGAAAAGCCAAAAGAACCACAACGGTCTTCACCAGGAGGCAGGACAGACAGATGACAAAGCTAATCCCAAACGCCGCCTGGCGCAGCATGCAGGTCCACACCGAAGGTTGGCCAATGAACACCAGGGAACAGAGGAAGCAAAGCTTCAGCGACAGAAGAAGCAAGAAACTTATTTCGGAGTTGTTGGCCTTGACGATGGGCGTAGCGCGAAAACGATGGAAGATCACAGTAATGACGGCTGTGAGGAACACGCCGAGCAAGGTCAGCAGAACCAGGACGATGCCCAGGGTCTCGCTGAAGGACAGGAACTCCTCAACCCCTGCGACGCATTTCACCTTGTCCTTGTCGGACCAGGAGGAGTCCGGGCATTTAATGCACTCGGTGGAGCCTGTGGGAACACAGAAACACATTAAATGGAAAGAAAAAAAAAATCTAGTAAAAGTCCAGTAAAATTTGAAACTTTTACTGTTCCACACAACTTTTGTATCATCAGTGATGTACAACAAAGCAATGATAAAAATGATAAAATGATTCAGACCCTCAGCTGACGAGGTTTTGAAATAATCTTTTAATTTCAGCAATATATTTACAGACTTTATTTAAATGAGGAAGTGAATTATTTGTTTATTTATATTTTCATCTACTTCCAACAGTGTATGAAATAACCTTAAATGGTTACTAAAAATATGCAGAATGTGCCCACTTTTATTTATCTGACTAATTGATTAATCAAAATGACTTATGGAACAATGAATTACTAAACTAATCATTAATTGCAGTTCTAATGACATTACATACATATTTTTCCACTGGTCACATAAAAGGTGTAATACTTTGTAACTTTTCATTTTGAATAAAATTGCATTAAAAACGTTTAAATGGTTCATGTTTGTAATTGAAGATTTACTCCGTCCTTTTCAAATCTTGACCAAACGTCTTTTTTGAATGGGAAGTAACTTAAAATCTGGCAAGTGCAGAAAAAAATGCGGCTTTAGCTTTGAAAATTAGGAGGAAAAAAAGAAAAAGAAGAACTGGCTACCTGTCTGGTTGCTGATCTCTCCATCTGCACAAGGCAGGCAGTCAAAGCAACATTCAGGTTTTCCTGGACGTCTGGCCTGTCGGCTGCCAGGGAGACATGGAGCGCTGCACTGAGAAACAGGCACCTGGCGGTTGACCAGAAAAGCACCATAGAAACGAGACACAGCTGGTTTGTTGACGAAAAAAGCAGAAATTTAATTTAGACATCACATTTTCTGCACCTGCGACTGGCCTCCTGTCCATACGATAGTGCTGCCATTTATCTTCAGCTGTTGCCCCAGTGGAGCCGAACCATCATAGCCTCCGACTTTAACAAATCTGTTGATGACATGAAAAGACTAAATGAAATCAAGCCGGGGTTCAGGAACGTGCATCTCAGGTATGAGATAAGATAAGATAAGATAAGATAAGATAAGGTCATTTGTTAGTCAGGCTGTAATACAACAATGAGAACAATACATTAAAATAGAATAATAATATACAAGGAAGTGACATAAAAGCAATGGCTAAATAACGAAGTCAGAGCCTGCAAAGAGCGTTTCTGCTGCAAAACAAGGATGACATTTGACCTGATTTTCCCCTCGCTGTCCTTCTGCCAGTTGATGACGTCATATAAAGGGACCGGCTCTCCGTTACTGTCAAAGTAAACTCTCTCCTGAAACTGATTTGTGAAATTTCCTTTCTTCAGATGGTCCAGGAGCTGTTTGAAAGAAAGGCAGAAACATCAGAAAAAAAGCAAAGTAAAAAAAAATCATTAAAAAAATGAGCAGAGATTTGGTTTTCAGTAGTTGTTTCACAAACCTGTTTTGCAGTGAATTCTGTGTTTTTGTCACACATACCCGCATTTATTCCTGCAGAGCCACAGTTAAGTAAGTTGTGGAGAGCGTGGGCGATGGCAAACACAGCTTTATACACATTGTAGGATATTCTGACCCGAGACACGTCAGTGTAGCTGCTTGACGTGAGACTCAGGTCTTCCGAGCCTGTACATACAGGCTTTGGATCAGCATTTACACGTTCATTGGATTCCCTTTTCTTTGTCGCAACAGACATGTTTTGAGAGTCCAGATTGAATCTGTGGTGCAGTGTGTCCGCCTCGCTGTCATTAGTTACATTTAGGTCGAACTGGAGCTGACATCCAAACTGCTCCTCCCAGAACATGTTGATGAACTCCATTCCCGGTTCGGGAGACGGACGGACATTGAGGAGGAACTCTTTCAACCCAGGGATATTGACTCCGGGGAAAGAGAAGCCGATCGTTCCCTCTAGAAGGTCGTGGAAGTTTGGAAACGTCAGAAGGCCGGCCGTCACCCAGGCTTCACTAGCCACCCACTGGATCCCTGTTACATTTCTACGAGAAAGCTGGTTTAAAAAAAAAAACAGAAACGTCAGCACAAAAAAAAAAACAAAGTCCTTCTCATGATCTGAACTTTGACAATGTACTAATATAAAGCATTGTAAATGCTGCACATCTTCTCTGAGAGTCTCTGCACATAAACAGAGACGCTCACTTCTAGGAACAAATCCAAGAGTTGTCCCTCAGCCGCAAAAGCCACCACCACGTTTGCGGTGGAAATCTGCAGCATGTCCGCCATGTTCCGAATCTCTGCCGGTGTCGGTGATTTCGGAATGGTCAGGTGAAAAGCCACGCAGCCGCCGCTGCGTCTGAAGCGACTGGAGAACTCCTGGATGCCGTACTGACTGTAGTCATCCTGGAACGAGCATGGAATGGAGTCAGTAAAATGAAATAAAGACTTGGTTTATTGAGTGAGGGCAAACAAGCCTGATCTTACTGTCGTCCCCATGGTGCCCACCCACTGCCATCCTAAGAATGTGACCAGCTGTACGAGACCTCCGACCTGAAACAGGTCGCTCGGCACAGTCCGCAAAAACGTCGGATACACATGCTTGTCATTCAGGCAGGTGCAAGTGGCAAAATAACTCACCTGAGATGAGACAGAGTTTTTTGTTTTGTTTTCCAGCAAAACACTTACAAACATCTTTGCACAAAATGCCATCTTTGTGCTTTTCTTACCAGTGGGATGTTGAAAGAGCCAAGAACTTGAGCTACAGCCCTTGTCGGGGAAGACGACGCAAGACCTATAACAGCAGGGATGGGAGAGCCAGACAGACAGCTGGGAGTTTCATCATCCTGTGTCATTAACAGTGTTTGCGCCTTTTCGCTTGTCAGGTCTATCGTGCTTCTCATTCCCAACATTTGCTGGTGACCAGCCGCAGACTCTGAGAAAGTGACCAAAGAGAATAGAGCCCGCAGGCTGCTGTGGACGTTGTCACAGCTGTCCAAGATGCGATAGCCGAGCTTCACACCAGGTAGGAGGCTGGACTTGTTGTTTATTTCCTCCACAGCAAACGCCATCGTCATCATCCAGCGGAAGGCTCTGTGGTCAAATCTGCCAAAATACACTTTGAATGTTTGGTCGAAAGATATTTAACATGCATACGTCTGACATCTTCATATTTACCCGCTGCAAGGTGTGGCCTGGGGTTTGCTTTGGTAGCTGTGCTGAAGCTCAGAGGCCAGGAAGTGCAAAGGGAAAAATCCCCCTATGAGGACATCCCCGTCCATCTCTAAGGTGAGAGGATCACCGTCTCCTACTTTCACGCACCGAGTTGAAGCAGATTCAAAAGCCCTCGTTTCCTCCGCCTGCAGATCATTCATTGTCTCTATTAAAATACCGTCTCTTTTCTCTGCTCTTTCTTCTGTACTCAAAGTGTTTCTTTTTTCCACAGAATGGCTCAAACTTGACAATGCAATGAAAGGAATGCTGAATAAAACCCAAAGATGCAGCGCCTGAGAAAAGTTTAATGGATTCCCCATGACGACCCCATAAAGACTGTGATCACCTGGCGAAGACCGACAGACGACTGGGTCAGGATGAACTACATAGTGTTATTATGCGAGCTGCATTTCATTAGCAAACTCAGTCATCGCCAGTTCAACCAATCATAGTGAAAAGAGACAGCACGGAGAAAACTAAATGATCTTTTGTCATGTAGATACCAGGATAAGGAGAAAAAATACATATTAAGATTCAAATTAAAAGACCTGTTTTGGAAAAGATGGTTTCAATTTGAATTGAAACAGTTTTAACTATCAGAACAAATAAAATTAACACTGAAAATGACCACATTGAAATGATTCACACAATTTTACAACAAACTAGAAGCATTTGTAAAAAAAAAAAAAAGTTCAAGCTGAAAACCTTCTACTCTACCTGAAGTGATAAGTGGGTGAGTGCCCTTGCTTTTCAGTCTGATTTTTAATGGTTTATCATGATGACAGCTAATTTTGTTTTTAGACATATGTTGATCATCTCCGCAAATGTTAATTTTTATATGCATTTTAGGGGAATTTTTGATGCAAATGACAAATCAATATTTTGGCCAAGATCAATGAGCCAAATTTCCTTATTTGTATGAAAAATTTTCTTAATATACTATTATGTAATTCATAAAATTACATGAAGAAATGACTGAGGCAAACCCCTTCAGTTTTAATATTTATTGAAATTGAGGAACCAGTAAAGAAGAAATAAGTGTAGTACACCCAGTTTTTTATGTTGTGTGAAAAAATATGATACAATTAGTTTTTGTTCATTAAATGTTTCTTGGTGTTTTTCTCTGGTTGAAACAAAATGATGAAACACTTTGGAGCAAATATACACAGTATGAGTCCAAAACTTGAGGCCAGAATAGCAAATATCTCCACAGCCACAGTAAATTTTCCAGGAGAGCTGACATAAGCTGGGATGAAGGTGATCCAGACGGCACAGAATATCAACATGCTGAAGGTTATCATCTTGGCTTCGTTGAAATTATCAGGTAGTTTCCGAGCTAGAACAGCTAACACAAAGCAAAACACAGCCAGCAGGCCGATGTAGCCGAGCACAGCCCAGAAACCAACAGCAGAGCCTAAAGCACATTCCAGGATGATCTTCTCCTTGTAGGTGGTCAGATTTTTCACTGGGAAGGGAGGACTCACAACCAACCAGATGATACATATTATAACTTGAATAAATGTAAAAGACACTACAGTCATTCTTTGTTGTGGAGGACCAAACCATTTCATAGCATTACTACCAGGAAGTGTAGCTTTAAAGGCCATTAGAACCACTATAGTTTTGCCAAGAACACAGGAGATACAGAGAACAAATGTGATGCCAAACGCTGTGTGGCGCAGCATGCAGGACCACTCAGAGGGGGCTCCAATGAAAGTTAATGAACATAAGAAACACAGAGTCAGAGAGAAGAGCAGCAGGAAGCTCAGCTCAGAGTTGTTGGCTCTGACAATGGGAGTTGTTCTGTGATGGTAGAAAATCACTGCTGTCATGATGGCCAGAAAGGCTCCACTGATTGAGACTACTTCCAGAATAATTCCCAAAACTTCATCAAAGGAAAGAAACTCCACTGGTTTGGGAAAACAAGCATCTCTCTGTGCATTTGGCCAGAACTCACTGGGACACGGGAAGCAGTCAGGAGAATCTAAAATATAAAGCAAATATAAATAAATATAAAGCAAACACATTTGTTAACGCATTGATATTTTTTTGCCCAGCTGGTGTTTCGAAATGTTTAACACTACCTGTCATGTTACTGATCTCTCCTTCAGGACATGGTATACAGTCATAGCAGCAAATTGGTTTTCCTTTCTGCAACACTTTACGACTTCCTGGAGGACAACTCTCTGAACACACTGACACTGGAACCTGATACAGAGATACAAGCAAAATTCAAGTTTAAAAACAAAATATTTCTCTCATGCAACTTTGGTTAAACAACTAGAAAACTTTTGTCATTACTTCTAAGCTGCCTTCCATCCAAGTTATGTTTCTATTGATATTGAACTTCTGGCCTTCTGGCAGCGATGCATCATAAAACCCCACTGTCACCGGCTCAATGGCTCCTTTCTCATTCTTCTGCCAGTTCACCAGTTCATAAAAAGCCACTGGATCCCCATTCGCATCAAATGACACATGATAACCATTTTGGGAAAAGTTGACTTTTTTGAGCTCAGCTAAAACCTGTGAGTGTGATTCAAAGAAATAAGGATGGAAAATTATAGAGGTAAATGTATTACTTCAATTATGACATTTCAGATCAGAAAAGCTAAGTCGCTGGTAAACGTTGAAAATTTCCCAACCTCTTCATATTCCAGCCTGATGAATTCGTCAGCAGTGAAATTAGTCTTTTTAAACCGTGTGGTCTGAATAGCATGTGCTATTGCATAGACAGCCTTGTACACCATGTTAGTAATTCTCAACTGTGATGTTTCAGTGTACGGGCTTTTAAGTGTCTTTAGATCCTCTTGTCCGTTACACATTCTCTTTTGTGTACCTCCGCCTACAAGTAGAAAAAAAAAGGGAAGGAAAATGCTGAAGCTCATTGTCATCAGAACCTTTTGCTCTTGTTCTTATGTCTTTATAAACTAATAACATTCTGTCCATCTGTATTGCCTTCATGGAGAATGAAAGCTATGATTTATGACTAATACAACAATAAACACTGTTAGTCAGTTGAAAAAAATGTTTTAACTCAAGTCAAAGTACCAGATTGTGTTTAAATATTTTTCATAAAGGTACTTTATATGAATTCTCCGACATTTAACCAACACCTTGCCAGCATACGGGAATCACAAAAGTCTGAATGAGGATGTAGGTGTATTAAATTAGCAATTAACCTGAAAAATCTCACTTTTTCTTAGTGTGCAGTTGAATGCATCCTCCCAGAACTCAGAGAGCACAGGGGAAGCAGCCACCTCAGAGGGAGAGAGATCCAGAAGGAAATTTCTAAATCCAGGGATGACAGATTGCTGGATGGCCACTCCGATGGCCCCAGCGCAGGAAGTGAAACTTAACATATCCATGTCAGTGAACCAGGCCTCGCTTCCGATCCACTGACGAGGCGGAGACGGAGCTCGTGACAGTTCTTCCAACAGGATCTTCATCTCTCCGATGGCTGCAAATGCCACCACAACTGTTGCTGTGGACCTGGAGGGACAATAAACACATCATCTTTAAATAACACGTCACACTTTTTATTAGAAAATAAGATAGGCCACTTGTATTTGGAAGAACGTTCAAAAAGGTTGCTGATGGACATCAATGCAATGTACATATGCGGAAATTACAGAAACCTTCTGATGATATCAGCGACTCTTTGGATTTTGCTGCGCGGGTTGGTCCGATAAAAGGCCTCAGAGTACTCCACACAGATCCCTTCTCGGAGTGCGACGTCAAGAAAGGCTGCCATGCCGTTATTTCCATAATCTGAGTCCGACCGGACAGCTCCGATCCACGTCCAGCCAAAGTGTTTCACCAGCTTGGCCAGAGCATCAGCTTGGAACTGGTCACTGGGGATGGTTCTGAAAAACGTTGGATACTGCTGCTTATTTGATAGGCAGGCACAAGTGGCATAGTGGCTCACCTAAAGCAAAACAAACAAGAATGAAAAAAAATTAAAAAGCCATCCAAATTCTGAAATGTGACAAATAAAGCAGCACAAGCTTCGTGCATGTGTCTGAAATACACAGCTTACCTGTGGAATGTTAAAAGACCCAATAATACGTGATATGCTGATGGACGGCGTGGACCCGGACTCAGCCACAACAGCCGTCACCACTCCAGACTGAGAACAATTGCCGTCCCCATAAAACACAGGATCTTGGCCGTTTGACAGCTGGAATGCTGCATGCACAGCCACAGGCACAGAGGCGCACGAGTCGTGGATCTGATATCCGAGACTGACGTCGGGCAGAAGCTCTGTGCTGTTATTTATTTCTTCGATGGCGAAGATCATTGCACGAGCAAAGCGCACTTCACGGGGGTCTATTCTGCACAAAAAAACAATGTTCAACATGTGTCTACAAAACCTAAGCAAAACACACAGGAAAAGACTGTCTGACCAATCGAATTTAAAGTCCCTCCACACACTTTACACAATGCAAACATAAAAAACATTAATCAGTCACTTCTAATGCCTAGTTTTAGTAGTTACTGTATATTTAAGCAATGCTTTAAATATACATACATGATTCTGATGTAAAAGTCAATACCTTAAAAATAATAAGGAGGGAGGGGGATTTAATTCACATCTCTTGAAAGCACTGAAACATTTTCAACATTTCTAGTTCGCCAAGAATCAGAATCCACTTGGTCTCAAACACTGACCTCCCTGAGCAGCTGGGAGACTCGGGTGCGGTGGTGTAGTTGTTCTCCACTGTGTGCATGCTGTTGTGGATGGAGAAGACACCGCCGATAATGTAGTCCCCATCCATGGAGAACGCGGGTGAACGAGCATTGCCCTGCAGGCTGCATTTATCTGGAAGAGCAGCTGAATTTTTCTGAGCCACTGTTGGCTTCACCTCCA